ATATATATATATATCTATAATCATTGTTGAAAGTAGCGGTGAAAAGGTTAGATAAATACTCTGGTGCGAAACTTCTAATCGCTTTAAAAGTCATCACAAGTTCGCGTTTTTTCAGAGTGGTTTCTAGTGGTTCCCAATTAAGTTTCTTAAAAATGTCAGAGGAACGTATCTCATAATTAAATGATGGTCTAGACTGGCAAACTTCAAAGTCACAAAATAGAACACCTTTGTTTGACGTTGAAGTTGTTGAACTGTGCCTCACCATGTACCATTTAACTGTTCCTATTGGGTGATTACTTTATTATACGAGTTCAAATCACCGTGACCGCGCACAAATTAACTATGTTCCATGGTATTGACCAAATGATATTTGGTTTGCATGACTTACCATCCCTCCAATATACCAACATAACTCCACTTCTGTCAAGCGCAATCGCTGTCAAGACAATTATGAACGGGTTGATGAACACGTAAAAGCAATAATGTAGAAATGAGGAGCTGGTTTTTGTCATTCGCTGCGGGTCTAGAAATTGATCATGATAATTTATGTGATTATGTGACAATTTTTATGGTTGTATTTTTGTTTTTACTTTTAATATGATTATACGACAACTGATACAATTATAAATGATAATATATTTAACAATTATTGGATGAGGTTTTTGTGATATGCGGAATTATCAAGGTCGAGGTAAGCGTTATCAGCCGAGCCGAAGGCGAGGCTGATAAGAGGGCCCCCTATACTTTTTGCGTGAAGCGTGAAGGGCTTATTTTACTTAGCCGTGAAACGAGATCGGGCCCCCTATACGTTTTGCGTGAAGCGTGAAGGGCTTATTTTACTTAGCCGTGAAACGTGATCGATGATTTTCTTAATCCGTGACTCGTGAAAAGGCAAAATATTTTACGTGAAAGCATATTGTGAAGAGGTATAGGGGGCCCTCTGATAACGCTTACCGAGACCTTGATAATTTTGCATATCACAAAAACCGAATTCAATAATTATTTTATTATACATTTGTTTGTGTTACAGTCAAAATACAAGAACCTTCCCACTTCCGCTTCTTTAACTTGTTTTGTATTTATGTCATTTGTTCTATTGTCTGTAGCGATTACCGCTTTATCGGCACATATCGCGTTAGGATCCGGTAGAATTTCGCTTTCCTTCCTTTATATACGTCAATTTGTAGCAATGGATACACCTTTCGTTACATTCTTTGCATAAAAGTTGCGAAACTTAGATCTTAAATCGATATTTGCTGACAAATCGGGTTTTAAACCGCTGCCTAGTGTGTTCATACTATACAAATTTAAACTTACCGACTACAATCATTTGACGTACTAAAATCAAAATTTCGCACCTTTTATGCAAAGAATCTAACGGAAGGTGTACCCTCTGCTACAAATTGACGTATATAAAGGAAAGAAAGGGGAATTCTACCGCGATATTTGCCGATAAAAATCGCTACAGAAAATAGAACAAATTACAGAAATACAAAACAAGTTGCGGAAGTGGGAAGGTTTCTTGTATTTTGACTGTAAATAGATACCGCTTGCTAATCATCGCAGGCTCATTTGCTGATAACTGAGTTATCTGCTAGCAGATAACTGAATTTTCTGTAGGTTGCGTGATTGCGCGATTTAACTGCAAGCTCTTAACCAATCAAATTGCTTTTACCAACTACAATGTATAATAAACAACTATATTGGATAATCTGTATACGTATTGGATGTATGATATAATTTATGAAATTACGCTAAATTAGGTGTATGGATTTCTATAGTTTCACTTACTGTTTCTACCAAAAGTTTTCCAAACGTCAAAACTCATGATGCTCATCCAAGCAAAAGACGATAAAATGGCGAAGTGAAGAATTATAGCGGTAATGCTGCATGCAACCGCATTCTCTGTAAACTGCGGGCTCACCAGCAACACGATCTGATACATTAGTATCGAGGTGGATAATCCTATGATTATTTTCCCCGGTGTTGTACGAAGTTCCGGCACCAATGAATATAGAGCTAGCAAGAACAACAGTGTCACCATAGAAATGGATACGCCAATCAGATTAAAGTACATTTCCAACTCAAACTCCGTTGTCTCAAAGGAATTTGAGCTGTGATTCACGGTCCCAGCGGTACGATTGGTGGCATACTTTATATTAACTTCTTTATAACGGTTTGGTTTGTTTTGGGGGATTTCGAAAAATATTGAAATGGTAGAGGGATAGGTAATAACTGGCGGATTTTGTAATTCCGTAGGTCCAATCCCGTAACACATTGCGCAGTGAAAGTTCTTATAAAAACTCCCATTATGGTAAACGACCCGCATATATGCGTGACATTTTAGCTTGAGTTCGGCGTATTTTAAAGCGGTCATGTTGATTGAGGGTGTTGGCAGGCAGGTTTTTACTGGTGAACATACTGTATGATATTTTGTGATATTCAAATATGGTGCATAGTACCAGCTGCAATTATTGTGAAGAAATGCCTTGTCCTGGGCATGACAATTTTGACTTTCATTCACCAGACACCTGTCTACGGTTGCCCGAATCTTCTCAGTTTCGTTGTAGGCTTCTACCTCGTTACAAATCAGTTCGTAGCCCCAACGTTTTATGTTTTCAGGCTTAATCCCGTTTCCTAAAGCACAAAACCTGTTCTTGTATGTATGTCCGTCTGGCCCTTCGACAGGCATTGTTTCCGCGTCGATATCAGAATGTGGATTTGAGCAATTTTCTTGGAGTTCCCGAGAACAATTCAAACAACTTGAGATCATCATATGTCCTCTGATCCCTGGCAAGTTGACACGCATGTCGTACCATGGAATATAGTTTAGATGTTGATGATGTAGGTCACTTATGCATTGCCATTTTTCTCGTTCTGACTGACTGATGGTCGTATTGGGTTTACAGCTATATAGAGAGAGAAATGTTTTGTTTACTGGAGAAAATCTGCAGAGAAAAGTTAAGTGACTGTCTAGTCCTCATTTGGATGTGGATGTAGACTATATACCATTACATAATTCTTCATAATCCCTCATACATTTTACGCACGTCCTTACGTACCTTACGTACGTAGGCTACACTGATTGGCCCCTGTTTAAATTAATTTTCAGACAACCAAGAAACAACCAAACAACCAAACCACCAAACTACCGAACAACCAAACAACCAAATGAAAGTTGAATGAAAGTTGAATGAAAGTTTAATGAAAGTTTAATGAAAGTTGAATGAAAGTTGAATGAAAATTTGAATATCGATCAATGAAAAATTGAATGAATCCCTATATGAAAGGTTGGGTGGCAAATGAAAGTCCCGGTATCAAACCATGAATTTCAAATGAGAATTTGATTGAAAACGTATGCAACTAATTAAACTACTTTTTCTCTAAACGTCCTTCTCTACAATAATCAATATTGGATACAATTCTTACATTTTGAAATAATCATAACAGCAATCGTGAGTTCGCTGACAATTTTCATCACAATGACAGTAAAACGTGTGCGATCTTGCCTCGCCACATCTGTTTTCACAACTTGTTGTTCGTGGTTGAAATCTCACTTTTTCTTTCCTCTTAAAGTTAGCAAACAAGACTTTTACCACGAAACTACGAATCTCCCTGAATAATTCCAGATAATCAGAGCTTGATGAGTCCTCTAAGAAAGAAAGTATAAGGAAATAAAAAGATAGTAGACGGTTTAAAATATGTTTATGAAACGTTCATGAATGAGGAATGCTTTCTAAAATCGATTATTTCTATACGATGACTACAATTTTCTCCACCCTGACTACCTTAAGTTACCTATACAGATGAGAGAATAGAATTCGTGAAATTAAACTTGTTGATAATTATAGAAAACGTTCTCGTCGGCTGTAATCGGCTTTAGCTTTACTACACCACTATACTATAGTACTCCTCAATTAAATCATATAGAGTACTTTAGAATTGTAGCAGTATGAAGATGTTTCTAGATGATTTTTCCGAGGACGCGATCAGAAACTGCACATGCAAAATATGCATGGTAATGTCGCGCATGAGTATATTGCATGGCATCGTGGGCTCAAATTTTCGTGCGCTATTTTGTTGTGCTTTACTTTCAGGATCTATTATATTTGCAACAAATCAAGTCGTAAATTACATGTATGTTTAAGAGGAGATTTTTTTGTGTATGTTACCAACACGCGCTCAAAACTAATGCGTATAATATACCACTTGAGGTTATATGACTAAATTCAAAATTTTTATTTTTCGTTCCGTCAGTTTCTCAATCGGCAAACAAACTTAAAAAGTATGTTTAGTGCTTTATCTGTGAAATAATGCTAAAATGAAGAGATTTTAGATGATACGCCAAAGAGAAAATGGTGTCTGAAGTTCAGTAAGTTTTGCTTATATGGCTGTAACTATGGCGTCAATTTTAAAGCATCATTGATAATTGTATTTTAATTGACAATTTTTAACTATTATTTTATGTTTCTCAACCGGCAGATGCATTTAAAAAGGTAGCTAACTCTATAAACTAGACGGCCAAAAAGATTTTAGGTTTTGAACACTTTTCATTGCAAATACGTGACACTGGAAAAAATTGCCTCATAATTACTCCCGAGTTAATGTTGTTTTGGGACCTTGTACCTTAAGAACTTTAAAATTCTATCAATAAATTAAAACCTTTGCCGATTCTACTCCTGAAATAATGTAGTAATTCGTCTTCGGTAACGTCAGCATATACTATCTATTCATGTTCTGTTAAGATGAGCTAGCTCATTTTAGCTCGGTCAATTTGTGGCCGCAATTTCTGATTGTGTTTCAGTTCCTTAGAACATGCATAAACTGCCCTACCGTAAGGATTATAAACAGCCAAAGTTGAAGATAAAAAGAACAAGAATATTGTTGTCTTTCTCATTGCGAAATACAGCTGTAAAGAAACAGAGAACAAGAAAAATAATTGACATGCTCAAAAACAATTATAAGTTTTTGCCTCAAAATTATCATGCATAGCATTGCCTTGCAAGTTGCAGAAAAAAATGTCTCTTGTAACATGGACTGCTTTTGTAAAATGCAACGAATGGACCTTTCCCCTTATAACTGAAAATTTCGATCTAGACAAAAATTTCATCACAGCTTGAAAGAGCATCACAAAATTAGTAATATTCCAAAGTTTTGTTGCAAAATCTTGTAAAATGCGGATAACATAGCCTTGCGAAGTTTGCCGTTTTTCAGTCATTTTGTATTACAAACGGGAAATTGACATCCGAGTCGGGTGTTGGGGCTGCAATTTCCCGTTTGTAATGCAAAATGACTGAAAATTGCAAACTTCGCAAGGCTCTATTTTCCTCAGTTTACATCATTTCGCAACGAAACTTTGGAATATTACTAATTTTGTGATGCTCTTTCAAGCGGTGATGAAATATTTGTCTAGACTTGCCTAGATCAAAATTTTGGTTATAAGGGGAAAGGTCTATTGGTGAAGCACTGATTGCGTGCAAGTCTGCATAGGATAAATACCCTCATTGATAATATTTAGTAATTAAGACTAAATTTATATATGTCGTCAGTCTGATACTATGGCAGGGGGGCGTTCTATTAATTTAGAAGTGATTGTTTTGTTAGTGACAGGATTTCTCATGTTGAATTCATTTGTTAGTCAATGTTGTATTTCACCGCGCACGATGTGTGTTCATTACAGATGAAATTGATTGAACTTGACGGATATTCACATTCACATTCATATTAATTTGTGAAACAAATATATATATAACCATGCACATTTTGTGAGCATTTTCCTTAATTAGAAACGAGATTTGAAATGCATTTTTCTTCGTGTAAAAAGTTTCATTTTCTATTTTTTTCAGGCACTTTTACATTTAAAAATTCTTGACTCTAACTTTTATATATATGTAGAACAAAGTTTGTTCATTACGTTTTCAATTTTATGATATACCTATATATATATATATATATATATATATATATATATATATATATATATATATATATATATATATATATATATATATATATATATATATATATTTCTAGTAACCGCTCGAAAAGTCCATATGAGCCATGAAAACAATTTTAAATTAATAAAATACAAAATGTAAACAATTTTATTTTCATTTTGACTTTTGAGATGAAATTGTTTGGAGTTTCCCGCATTATTTTGTATACTAAACTTATAAGAATTACTGGTTACCGAAAACAGTTTTTATTCACATATTTTATACTAAGTAGCCTTTTTAGTAAAGTAGTACACGTTTATTTTCAGACATATATATGAGAAGATAGATTCTTTTGACATAAGAATAATTATAACTGGTGATATCAATTGTTAAAAAGAAGTCGTACCTTTCAACTTCGTAAAACAGTTAGTCACCAAAGCTTATACATATGATTTGTCCCACAACTTGTTCTCAAATCATTTGTTTGTCGTTTGGGTAGCTCATATAATTTAAACGTTAGTCATGCTATGACAAAGACAAAGTCAGGTTTTATTACCTTTATCTTGAATATCTTCATCGAATATTTATCTCACAAATCGATCTTCCGTTCTAGTTGTGTGTTCTGAGCACACTAGACCTGTTGTGCCAGCCTAAAGTGAAATTTTATTACATACAGCATGCACTAATTGTTGTTTTCGTGTACGAGATAGCATTTAATTACGGCAATAAATCTCCTCTATTCTGACTGTGAATTTAATTAATCGGCAATGTTGATCGTTTTTTGACAATTGTCGTGAAGATTCAATCACACATACATGGACTTTATTATTTTATATAATTAAGTCCACATATAATTTCATTTCGGTGTGATATGACAAATTAAAAAATGAACATTTCAATTTGCTGAAAGTCTTAAATCAACTTGGTGATCAGGCTGTGTAGTCAATAATAAACATGTGCTAATATTTTCCCGACCAGCCTTTTAATTGTTTTCACACATACCGAAAATCATAAATAATGCATGCGTAAATGACACTCCATTTCATAATATCAATAACTTCGTACTATTTTATAGAAGTAGTCAGGGACGCCGGAACGATGTGAAGGCAAGGGGGGCAGATTTTCGTGAAAGGGCACTTTTGAATTGATATATACTAAGAGATGTTTGCAAAACATTGGGAATTGAACTTCGCCTAACCATGTTTTCCGTTTATTGGATGATAGGGGTATGAGGGGGTTCTCTGCCAGGCGATTCGGCTATTCTTGAAGCTCAATGACTGCATTTCTTGCGTTTTCTGAAGAAAATTCGTAAAAGAATTGCACTAACATTTCTGACAATTCGCTATTTCGCCAAGGCAATCCTTTAAATTGAAAGGGCACCTTTGCCCCCCTTGCCCCTCCTGGTAAAGGGCAACAGGGGCGGCTGCCCCTCCCAGTTCCGGCGTCTCTGGTAGTAGTATGGCGTCCGTTACCGTCTTTCTCTCCGCATTCCCACTAATACCACCTGCTATACGCAGGCTATATATTGTAATATAAATACAAACATAAATAATAACATTTAATCAACATAAATACAAGTTTCGATATGATATATAGATATACATGCATAAAAATCACAAGAATACATTAAAGAAGACACCCCAAGTACACGGGCCTAAAGTTGCCCAGAGACACTGAGTTTCAAAAATTGGACACAACATCGTAACTTGATTTTGCAACTAGAGTTGTAATTGTTTTGCTATATGCATAGCCATTATATGCTAAAAAATATGTTGATGATAAAAATGACTAGAGAATGAAAAATTTATTTTACGAAGATTATTTATAAAATTGACTCTATGAACTTCTAAGCAGTGGTTATAGCTAATTTGTACTGCTGCATGCAGGAGTAAAAAATGCCGTTCGCCTCTAATGTAGATTACAATTAGTTTTACATGCTCTGAATATATGGGAGTAATAACTAGAATATTTACAAGTTCAGAACTAGAAAACCTACTTGAAGTTCACTCACACTTACACGATCAATGAATGGAGGTTCCTCTGATCTTCTCTTGAGTGTCAGTGTTGTTTTTGAATATCTGGAGGGTGAGTAGTCACATAGTAAGGTGCGACACTAACGCCCGTATTCTAAAAGCTCACTCACACTCAATGAGTGTAGGTTCAATCTGAGCTTCTCTTGAGTGTCGGTGCTGTTTTTGAATAGCTGGAGGGTTAGTGTCGTACCTTACTATGTGACTACTCACCCTCCAGCTATTCAAAAACAGCATTAACACTCAAGAAAAGTTCAGATTGAACCTCCACTCATTGAGTGTGAGTGTGAGTGAGCTTTTAGAATACGGGCGTAACCCTCCAGCTATTCAAAAACAGCAATGTCCCAATGACACTCAAGAGAAGCTCAGCCTCAGATTGAACTTTCACTCATAAGTGAGTGAGTGTGAGTGAGCTTTTAGAATACGGGCGTAAGACGAGAGGAAGGCTCTTTTCTTTCCTCCTGCGAAAATGCGGTTTTGCATGTTGTTCACAGTATTATTACAAGAACTGAATACACATAGCAACAGAAGCGTCTCCGCCAGCAGACTGATTAAATGCCAAAGCCAGTATCTGTGTCAGTCTCCGCTATAGTGTATAGGTATTGACCAATATTCGTATAATGTTAGGGAATTTAACATCAAAATAATTCAAAATGAATGAATATTTTCATTTGGACTAACTGGAATCCCAGCTGCAGAATGCATTAAATAATCGTCTTTATGGTCTCTTATCGGCAGATTCCTGAGCAGATTCAATTTTCCCGCATAATGTTTTGCATAATGAAGTCAACATATACTTAATTGAATAAACAAACTACAACAGTTCAAACGGACATTCATCCTGTAACTTTTGCTAAATCTGTGCTTCACATGCATAAAAATTTCCAGCAAATAATTCATAATCTATGTGTCCTTGATACCTATGGTGAGCGCGTGTGTATTCCTATCTTTGTGCGAGATTTTGATAAAACCGGCTGAACAGTTGGTAATGTAGTAATTCGAGCTGCACATTCCGACATGTTGTGTTTAAACACTTCAATGCAGTTGGCGGAGTTTTTATAGCGTATAACTCTGATAGAGATGGTTTTCAACTGGTCAAGGTTGTCCCGAGTTTTGGCACAGGCATCCACCGAATAACATGACGACAGATACTGAAAGTTGCAATATGGGAGATTTTTGTTTATTTCGACCGAACTCCGAATTTCGAGACGTGCAATCGACCGAACAGCCGATGAAATTTATAATCAACGTTTCTGGGCTACGGTTTGAGACTTATAAACATACTGTTGAACAGTTGCCGGAGAGCGTGCTCGGTTCTGCGTCAAAACGAAATAGGTACTGGGACTCTGAGAACAACGAATTCTTCTTTGATCGTAACAGGACATGCTTCGAAGCAATCTTAACGTATTATCAAACCAAAGGTATCTTAATACGGCCAGCTACCGTACCTATGAATATTTTTGTCAATGAGTTGAAATTCTTTGAGCTTGGTCAAGAAGCGCTGTGGAAAGCCACTGAAGGGTACAATGGATTCGAAGAGCAATACGAGAAACCCAAAAATAAACTCCAGTGTAAGGTTTGGGAATTGTTTGAACACCCAGATACTTCGAGGGCTGCTAGGGGGATCGCGATATTGAGCATAAGTATTATATTATTATCTGTTGTCTTATTTTGCATCGAAACACTGCCTTCGTTTCAAGAAAACAACATGAAGCGGAATGGTACTGGCAAGGAAGAGCAGGACAAGGATCGGTACACCTCTGGGCCTTTTATTATTGAAGCACTCTGTATCAGCTGGTTCACCATTGAATATGTAGTTCGCCTTCTTAGTTCACCGAACAAATGGAAATTCGTGACATCTATTTTAAACGTGATTGATTTAATCGCAATTATCCCTTTCTACATAAGCATTGCGATGGCGAACTCGGAGACAGATGTTTCCTCGCTGGCTATATTGAGGGTAGTTCGGTTGGTCCGTGTATTCAGGATCTTTAAGTTGTCGCGATATTCAAGAGGGCTGCAGATTCTCGGTCACACGCTGAGAGCAAGTGTCAAAGAACTTGGCTTGTTATTGTTCTTCCTTTGTGTGGGTAAGTGACTTCAAATAATATGAGATTATTTATGGTTAATTATTATTCTTATTCAGTATTAGGGAAAGCGATCTTTAATGCACCTGTGGCCTGTCTGTCAGTTTCGAAATTATGAAAAGTTGAGAAAAACTGACGTCTGTTATTCTGTCTGTTTAGAAATTGCGAGTGCACGTTGTTAAACAATTGTTAATCCTGCGACCCCAAAACATCTAATTTGTTGGGTGAAATTTAATTATTTTAGCAGAAATAATTACGTATATTTCATGTAATATGTCGGTTTTGTATGAAAATAATCCGATTTCGTCACTGATATTGAATGCATGTCCGCCATAATCTATTAATGGATTATATGGACATCATTGATATCTTTTAACCAATCACATGTCTTTCAGAAACGTCACCGGTGAACCAATTACAGTTACCGTGTGAACTATACAGACTTTTTCACATAAATAGACAAAAATAACATGCTTGGCTGAGCAGTTGAGAACTTATACACTTCAAAAACTCATTAAAGAAAAATCATAAGCGTGTCGTGGTTTTATATGTGATAAAAAGTCATGTTAATTTACATAAATTTTAGCTTTGATTTTCTCGGTTTAGACAAAGTTTATTTTAAAAATTACTTCGCCAATGAACTCGTATAAGATGAGTCGTTTTTGAAGCCATTTGAAGCACTTGTAGTCGTGTTTTATCACATATAAAACACTCCGCTACGCGTCGTGTTTTATATGTGATAAAACACTCCTACGCGTGCTTTAAATAGTACATAACTATATTGTTTGAAATTCTTATCTTGTTAATATCAAAAGTATGGCATTAAAGATACGTGTCACTTAGTATTTTTGGTTTGCCAACTTGCCATAGATTATTTTTAATTGCACACAAACAATATACACTAGCTTGATATCATAAATAATGATATCAGTTTAGGCCAATGAAAGTTGATTTCATGTTTCTCGTCAACAATTTTCAAAAATTTGGAGCGGGATTTTTTCATTTTTCATTATTTTTGTATTTGAATTCTGAAGTAAATCGGTGTATAATTCATTTTAATTTAATACGTCCTACACTACAGTATATTTCTACACATAAATGATCATTATAAAACATGAATATGCATGATTTATCTTTTCAAAAAAGCAGTAAAACCACGCGAACAGATTATTTCGCAACACAGAAGCAAACCGGAAGAGAATGATCACGTGTCAAGATCATCCTCGTTCCCAGGGCTGACATGAAAAATAGAGGCATTCTGGCGAGTAATATCTTTAGAAAGATACAATTTGAGTTGCGCTTGCGGAATGTAGCAATAAGACTTCGATCTGGAGATCAATTTGGTGTTTTGTTAAGCCTATTTTTCAAAAATAATAATAATGAAAAATTTTCGTGCGGCAGATAAATCCCATGCGGGCGGGGACGAGAAACATGATATCAATTTTCATTGGCCTTAG